GTTAGCTCTTGTTAGCAGTGCTGCTGTTGTTGTTACTTTTTGATGCTGTTAGAACCGTTAGCTTCAGGCTACCAACTCAGCCTTGGACATGTTTGACAACCGTGAGGAGACAATTGCTCCTTGGATTTGTGATTGAGAACCTTTAACTATTCATCAAGAACAATCATCAAGTCTATTTTGTCCAGTTCTTTGGTTTATTTCTTTTATTTTTGATGGATTTCCCCATCAGCCTCATAGGCTACTTTGTGTTAAATGTAAGTATACGAACACGCTAAACAGAGATGAAAAGTGACTAAACATTCTGCGTGTAAGCTTTGTCATTGTGAGCATGTTAGCATGCAGACCATTTTCATGATTTAGCTCAAAGCAACACAAAGCTATTGTTAGTAACAGTACAACTATAAGTAATGTACAAAAAGGGCTGTGCTTTGTTCTACTTTTGGAAGGGGTATCAACTTTTACAGACCTTAGTTCCTCTACTATACAGCCTCAGAGCTGCTGGCTTCTAAGTGGACTTTCTTTTTTTAAACAGCAGTCACATAAGATTTAGGATTGTCTTTATTTTGTATTCTGTTGAGGTCAGAGTAATATCCGCTTTGGTTGCTTTTGAGTGCAGCAGACTACTCCTTCGCTAGCTGAGATGCCACACAAGAATTTGGGAGTTGTGTTAGTTAAGAAAGCTGGGTCAGGATACTCTCTGAGAATCCCTTGTTTCCTGTCTCAGGGTAGAAGTCGGGTTTATTTTCTCTCCCTCCTTCTCCTATCGCACCAGCCCCAGTGTGAGGCAATGCCCAGAAGGACACAGAGGAAAAGCAGAGAGCCCCGGCGCCATCCATCCTTCTACCTCTCTCCCCCCCCCCCCCTTCTCCTCTCGCTCGCTATGCTTCTCACTGGCATCGAGTCCGCAGCAACACATGTCTCTGATCAAGTCCAGCCTGCGTCATCAGTTAGTAAACTCCAGGCTCCAGGAAAACCAACAGAGAGCACATTCATAGCCGGCGACCCTGTGACTGAGTGTGTGATTCATTACTCTTTAATACACCCCCTACCCCCATCCCCTAACCCACCCAACCACTTCTCCAATCCAGCCTTTGGGCAACTCCACAGCCTGATCAAATCCATCATTAAGCATACTTGTGGTGTTACCGCTGTTGGCCTTCTTATTTACCAGATGCAGCGGTTGCGTCTCGGGCCTGTTTGCAGCTCAGTGGAAAAGAGTTAGCTCTGCATTCTCACATTAACTTCAGGACTCCACACTTGTGCTTAACTGTCCTGTTGTCTTTAGGATGAATTTGACCTGTTTTCCAGTGTTTGTAATGAGATAATGATCATCAAATTGTCTGTGATTCATTTAAATGAATAGCATCTGGTGTCATTATGTGCTGCCATTAAATATTTGAAGTGGTTTCCAAACAGTATCGCCACTAAACTTTGACAAATAACATGCAGTCTGTGATTATCCATTAAGACATTCTCTTCTGATCTAGTCAAAATATCTCAAATGTTTACCTTTTTTAACTCAAAACTAAGGTTTAACTTTTGCGTTTAATCCATATGATTAAATAAATATTATAAACAGTCAAACCAGGTCAAAAGTTGCAAAGTTAACGGGAAGATAACACAGAAGTTAAGAGTGAGACAGCACTGAAGAAGATCTCAGAGAGATAAGAACCCACTCCAAACTGTAAGCTGACAAAAGTGTTTCACACCAAAACACTAGAGAGTAATGAAGTGTCCTCAAGCAAGGTGACAGACATTGAGAGGTGGTAATCTTGGAAGAGGAGGCCAAGGAAGTAATACACGAGGTGAGAGGTGCTTGGGGAGTACAACTGAGGATAGGATGATAGCTTCATTGATATCAGACCAGTACAGTCTTTCTATTCTTAAGCATAAAGCACGAGGATTGCTCTGCTTCCACATCCGCAGACAGCTGCCTCGTAACACCGATTCCTCTGTGGAGGTTATAACGCAATTCACAAGTTATAAGGCGATGCAGTTACACTTCATGTGAATGGGCCGCCGCTGATAACCATCTTATTATCAAGTGACTGTAACGTGTCAGTAGAAAGACTCAGAGTCTCAGGTGATAGTCACAAGTGTGTTAGGTTCACGCATATCAAGTGTCTGTGTTGAGGTTCTTGTTTAGCAGGTCACTGACTTAACAGCAGCCTGAAGGCTTTTCCTGGGAGAATTCTCTCCAGGTCTTGTGTGTCATGAGTGCAGGATGAGTCCTGTTTACGAGAGGCTGACAGCTCCTTCCTGTCTCCCAGGCCATGAGTCCTAACTGCTGCTGCACTGAAGGCCACTCTCTAGTTCCCGGCCACCCAACTCCACCCCGAAAACTTGGCTAAAAGAGCAGGCATGGGTGGGACAGCTGATGGGGGGATGGGACATGGCGCTGGCCGTGGCAAAGTGAAGCAGCAGGAACAGCAGCAGCAGAAACAGCACTCGAGCTGCAGCGGCTCCTCCACCCAGGCTGCTTTTCTTGGGTAAAGTAGGCCAATGTAAACTCCCACTTCCTGTCGGCCTTGTCTCAGAGGGGGAGAGATGATCCTTCTGTGAAGAGGGAAAGGGCTGCTGCTCTGTAGGGACCGTTTCCACTCACACTCACACACACACACACACACACACACACACACACACACACACACACACACACACACACACACACACACACACACACACACACACACACACACACACACACACACACACACACACACACACACACACACACACACAGAAATAGAAATACAGTCGCAGAGGCAGGCAAGAGAGTGAGTGGGAGAGAGCAAGCGAACGAGGGAGAGAGCGAGGAATACACAAACACAGTGGGGTTCAGGAATGTTAAACACATGCTTTATGGCATAAATAGCAGCCACTTTTGGTAAATTACAGTGAGTGCTCTGGCACTGTAAAGCACACAGCAGGAAAACGCTCTCAGATTTCAGATCCAGGCCCTGTACTCTCCCCGAGGAACAAGTAGGGGAGCATGTTGTGTTTTCATTTCTCTATAAAAAGGCAGACATAAGTACAGCAAGTTGTGATGCAGCAAAGATTTGAATGTAGGAGTTTTTTTAACTGGGACTTTGTAGCTTTTGCGGTTATGGTGAACATGTAAGTCTAGAAAGGAACAAGGCAAGATGTTGATCTAAAAGAATAAAGCAAATTAAAATGCCGCTCATCTATTCCATGGAGAAAAAGCACCTCTTCATAGAAGCTTCTAAAAGGAGGTTGATAGAAGAAATGAGCTGAGGAACAAGCAAAAAAAAACCTCAAAGAACAAGCAAACTTCGAATAAAGTGCAGTTTAAATGAGGGGTTGTCAATCGTCTTTGCTAGCAGAACCTCACCCTAACCTCAGGACATACCAGCTGACATCATCAGAATAGTCCTGAACTAACCTCCAACAGCTGAGATTTTAATAGCCCTTTTATCCAAGAGCATCCTGAGTAAAACAAAAGAGGGCATAACGACCAAAGGAGTCTCACATTAGTTCCATATTGGACCTGGTTCATGTTCGTGCCACATATGTTTGGGAATCTGTTCAAGAGATTTATTATAAAGCAGTGGTTAGGAAAGTATTCAGGAACTGAAGTACTTAAGGATATGGAGGAATATGTGTTTCTATTCAAATTAAAAGTGCTCAAAACTGAACAATTTCCTAGTTTACTGTTATACTATTATGTTATATCATTAGATTCTTATTTCTCAAGCAAGTCTCTGACTTGTTTAACTAATGGTGATTTTGTGATGGATTAATCTGCTGATTGCCGTCCATCCATCCACACTCAAAATTATTAAAAAGGTAAAGCAGTGAGTCTTTATATTTGTGAAGCTGGAACCAGGACATGTATTGGGGTGAACATGACTAAACAATCATATAAATAGTTACGAATACATTTCCTGTATCCATTAAATTACATCACACTTTATTTAGCTGAACGTGGAATGTGCAATCAACCATGAAGAAACAAATAAAAAATAGCAAGACCACTTTAAGTGCATTAGCTTCAAATAAAGTGCTACATACAAGAGTAAGGTGTTTCTTTGGGCCCAAGTGCAGTCAAAGCAAGTAGGTGTTTCAGTCTGCAACGAAAATGTGTGGACTTTCTGCTATGCTGATATGTAGGGAGGTCGTTCCACCATTTTGGAGCCAGGATAGTTAAGAAAAAAGTACAATATTTTCCTCTGGGATGATGTGGAGTGAAGGTAGAAAGGGGCCTCACAAGCAAAGTAAAGTATCTCAAACTTAAGTACAGAACTTGGTTACATTCGCCCACTGGTGTAAAGTACTGAGTGTGCGGGGTGAGTCACTGCTGTATGATGCAGTGGTCGTCCTGGTAGCTGTGAGCTGACTCAGTAGGAAATAAGGAACTGTGGAGTGGAACAGCTTACCTCACTATGATGGGTCTCATCCCACGTACACCAACTAACTCTTTCACTCACTTACTCTTTGATAACTCACTCACTGACTAGTGGCCTGACTTGCTGACTGAAGCAGAGCCGCCATGGGAACCTCCAGCCTGTGCAGACTCTGACTCACTGTCTGGTCGGAGGAAGAGGAGAATGCTATACTGTCCCAGAGGAGGAAAGAAATACACACACAGCCTACTATAGTTCCACCGTAAGGTCACTTCAGAGTGTCGGAAGAAATCATGGTAGATCTTTGGGGTAGATTGAAAACAGAAGTTCAGCGAAGTTATTTTACACGCAAACGTATCCAGCAGTGTTTGCACAGTGACAGTGAGAAGTAGACGGCAGGTGGAAACTGGAAGCAGGTGCAGTCAGTTGTTCCCGTCCATCATCAAAGTGTGTTCACCTGCACATCTGCAACGTCATCACAATGGTCAGGTCACTCGTCACACCTTATATCAAGGTGCTGAACTGACAACCCCCAGTTAATGATCAAACACATCTTTCATAACCGACGTAACGACTGCGCCCAGATTCAACTGTACAGGTGGGGATTTTTTACTCTAATGCAAATGAGAAAGCAAGTTTTAATAAACATAAATTACTTTATTGAATGAAAATTCATCAGTTACAACATACAAGAAATAGGAGTGAACACACAAGCATGGTACAAAAATTGAAATAACAAAGTCATCTGCACATTGCACTATAAAACACTGCCATAAAAAGGTTTAGGAAAGTTTAAAAATTCAGCTTTGTACTGCACCGACAGGCTTCTGATCACATATTAGTCTACCATGTCTCCATGGTGTAAACCTTAAAATCTTTGGTCCCAGCCTTCTTGCATTTTCAAACTGTTTTGGCGCTAATTTCTACTAATACTGCATTCAATTTTATATCGACAAATACTAACTGAGGTAAAAAAAGGCACATTTTTGGTTTCAAAGTAACACAATTTCAAGGCACAAATTCATTTAAGTTACAAAATATGGCTTTTGGCTTGTATTATTAACACTGTGGTAACCTTGAGTGCATGGCTTGCATTGTCTTCCGCGTTGCAGCGGCGCTTGCAAAGTGAAGCTTCTTTGGAAAATAACAGACAGCATGGCTTTTCCTATCTGTGAAAATCATCAGATAAAAGAGAAGGTTTGGATGTAGACAAAATAGAGGCTTAAAGTGATCCTCACCGGCGGAAAAATAAGGACTTAACTGATGCCATTCTTTTGTGATGACATGCTTCCTCTTTTTTTTCTTAAGCAAACCAAGGGCAGTGGAAGTCACCTGCTATCAGCCGCCGAAGGTCATGGCTGTAGCACCTGTTAGCACCTCGTCTATCTACACCACAGTACCAGGGACAGCTGTGTGTGCATTTGCTTTTTGTGTGTGTGACTGTTTGCATGTGTGTGTGTGTGTGTGTGTGTTTTGAGGCACGCTGAGAGATTTATTCCACCCACGCACCCCAACTCTCAGCAGCTGTGTCTAGGCTATGATCCTGAGCTGGCCGGCACCAGGACGGAGACAGGAAAGAGCACCTCTTACCCCGATGAGTTCACTACATATTTGGTCTTTAGGAAACGGGCAGAAAAGCAACAAAGGGGGCTGATATCAAGTGAGTGTCGGCTTTGCTCGGTTTCAAATTTGGTCCGGCCATAAAAACCTGAGTCTAGATTGGAAGGAAAAAATCTGCTCTTCAGATGTTTTAAAAAGTCATTTTGGCTTGCAAAGTCAGATCTTTAATGAGGCTTAATTCCCTCCAGGTCTTTAAAATGAAGTCACTTCATGCTCTTTGTGGCCTCGCAGGTCGTCATCAGGCCAGCTTGTGTGGACACCCTCTCCGTGGCCCTCGAACCCCCTGAGCTCTGACTGTCCCCCTCTTGTCTCTCTCTCTGTGGCGGTCACACGGCGGAGGAGCAGCAACCGGAGGAGCTGTGCTTCTGCAGCAGCGACATGCGGCTGAAGGTGCGAGAGCAGACGCCACATTGGTACTTCTTCACCTCAGCGTGAGTCTGCAGGTGAGCTCGCAGGTTGGAGCGGTCGGCGAAGGCCCGGTTGCAGTGGGTGCAGGAGAACGGACGCTCACCTGGACAGAGAGAAAGGAGAAAACACATCAGAAAATGTCAGATAAGATATACTTTATTGATCCCAATTTGAGACATGTTTTCGTCACAGCAGCATGTTTAAACAAGGCATTGCACATAATGTGAAAATGAAAAAGAGTAAATAATATCTCAAAAATAACTAAAAAGTAAAATATTTAAATATTGACAGAGAAAAATAAAGATCTGTAGACAAATGGACAATTACCGTTAACACAATTTTAAAGCAGGATATTATTTACAATAAGTGTGCATGGAATAGCAAAATAAATTAAATGTAAATGTCAGGTGACTGACAGCCAGAGTTCACAAGATCCCTCCATAAACACCTCACACACACACTCTGCAGATAATGAAGAAGCACATGGTGTGCTGGTGGGGTCAGAGCCTGACTGAATTAGCATGATTCAATCAGAGCCAAATTAGATCAGCACGCTAACAAGTGGCTGCAGTTACAAAGTGCTCAGTGATAGCAGAGCCTTCAGGCATTCCTTTAAACCTTTTGTCCCTCCTGTGTGTCCCCAATCTGCTGTCTTTCCCCAGCAGCCGTGATAAGACAATTAGCTGACGAGTCATTGTTGTTGGGACATTAAAACACAATGAGCGATCAATGAGCACCTGGTCTACAGACGGCTACCCCATGTGATAAAATCTTCTGGTCAAGTGTTGAGCTCATCAAACTGATTGTCATGGATATCCTGCTCTGTGATGATGAAGGAGGGACCTGCTGACTCACATCTAATGTAGATTCACAGCTTCTACACAAGCACACTAATTATTCACTCCTGACTCAACAGTTATTCATATTATTAAAGCTCATCTTATTCCATTTTACATGTATATAGTTTACTTCTCCTGCATTACTTGCACATTGGTCGCTTGCAACATTCTCTTGCAGTATTGTATTTCTATTCTGTTTCTTTGTGCACTATTTATTGTCTTATCTATATCAAGGTTGCTCTGTTGAAGGAGCCTGGGACTTGAGTTTTTCAATGCCATAACTACACTGTAGCTTCTGTGCATATGACAATAAAACCTTTGAATCTTTAAATAGAGCAAATGAAGAAATGTGTTGTTTTTACCTGTGTGTGTGCGGATGTGGCCGCGCAGCAGCCACGGCCTGGAGAAAGCCTTTCCACAGGTGGTGCACACACAGGGGAGTGTGTGTGAGCGGATGTGCATCTTCAGGGCCCCGAGGCTGGTGTACTCCTTGGGGCAGTGTTTGCAGAGGAAGGCCGGCCGGGCTGCTGTGGCGGGGGCCTTCCTCTCCTCCTCCTCCTCTTCCTCAGGGGGGCTGATATGAGGCATGACACCGGTGCATTTCATCCGCTGGCGGGGGGCATATGTGTGGACCGGTTCTGGACTTGGAGGGTCTGATGTGCGACCTTCATCCTCCTCTCCACAGCTGCTGGCACTGCTGCTGAGGCTGGAGGGGGAGCTGAGGTCCAGGGGCCCCGGGGTGGCAGAAGGCTCTGTTTGGGAGATGGGCAGGTAGAGGGCGGGCAGCACGCTCAGGTCCCAAACCAGACCTGTGGTGAAGCAGGTGTTGTCCCCTGAGGGGAGCTCAGCGAGGGGATACCTCTCCAGTGACGTGTCTGAGGCAGAAGGAAGAGGATGGTTTAATCATAATGCACACTATATACATATGACAAGAAGTCATTTAAATGTAAAACAGCACAATGGACAATGTGTCTTAAACACATTCCCCAACTACTCCTATACTGTCTGTTTTCTCTTAGGAGATAAACTCATAATTCCTCAACATTAACTGAGCATAAAGTTGGAGCCATGGGAAGGTTTCATGGGCCGTTTCCTCCCACGTATTCACAAGGGCTTGTAACATGAATGGTGCTCTGTCTGGTTGCAGAAAGGAAGGGGGGAAAGTGCATCTAACGGGCCCCGACTTGAACGGGGAGTAGCTGGGTTTGTTGTTGAACCAGACACAAAAAGCACTGCACTGTTGATTCCCAAAATATAACCACCTTCAACTTAAAAGTCACAACAAAGCTCAACTTCGCGAAAACAGACCTGTGCATTTTACGCATTCAGTTAAAAAACGTTCATAAGTCATACAGAAATATAAAAAAAAGTTTCAACTCACCATTGTGACATACCAGTTCACTGTAGTTTGGCTTTTGTTTCGCGAAGTACTTTTTGACCAAGAAAGATCGAGGCATTGTCCTTGTGAGCGTCAGAGAACTGTGCGTAAAAGTATCCCGTGGTCGCGACGCACAGTTTGTACAAAGAGTAAAAAAAAACACAAATCTTGGTCCTCGGATCCGCAGGAAACGTCTTCCTATAGTCCTCAAGTTGGAGCGGACAAGTGTGTGAGTGTGTGTGTGTGTGTGTGTGCAGCGTTCATGCAGAATGACTAAATACTGGCCTCTGTTCTGAAGTACTGACACAGGCGGTAGGGGTGTGCTCGCCCCGAGGGCCCTCCCCACCTCCCGTGTCACCGATCAAGTGCTCAGCATGAAGCCTCCATGCACTTTGCTACAACAAAAACACCAGCAGCCTTTAGACACGGGACCCCAGTGGTGTTGACCTGCAGACAAGAAAAGGTGAAGAGACAGTAGCGAATTATTACAACTGCGCGAGTGTCATACATTAAAATCACATACTGGGACACTATTAAGCAGATATGTTGTGAAAATATAATTGCAAGCTCAGGTGCACAGTTTAATTACTTTTTAAAACACTGCAACACCAACAGGCAACTGATGTAAGGAATTTAAGCTGTTTCAAATTTGCTGAGAAACTTTATCAAACTTTATTTTAAACGTTATCAAACTACAACTGCAGCCTTAAGGACTGGTCGATAGTCCACCACAGTACATAGCTTAACAGTTATATTCAAACCAATACAAATGTAATTGTAATAATCAAAGTTTCCTACTATGACAGTATATGTCTTTTTAACACTTGGGGTCATTGTCTAGTTATCAGTCACTCACTGTTTCTCCTCATTTGGTGAATTTAGAAGGAAACAATGTCTCAAAGTGATTATATCATGAATGTGCAGACTTCAAAATTGTAATTTGGTATTACTTTAAGGTTAAAATGAATATGAAATCAATATGTCATGAAAGGGTTATTGTTCTCAGGCTGTGATAATGAGGTGGCGTCAGACTGTCATCAGACCTGCCACACTTTATTAAATACATTTAAAAAATAAAGCTACATCTTGATACACAGGTTGTCTGTCTTGAGTACTTCAGTAGAGTACCTGCACCATCTTGTGGAAGAAAGGCAGTGATGACATAGCACGAGATCATTCCAATGAACACTAGGTGGCGCTTTTACAGAGGTTCCTTTACATTTAGAGCATAGACAGGTATCATTTCAAGGGATTTCCAAAACTGTGTCACCTGTGAAATGAGGGATTTAAACACACTGTGACTAATGGCTGTGCTTTGCCTCTGTCCTGCGAAAGACCTTCTTCTTCGCTTGTTCCTCAAACTGCGACAGTAAAAAAAATCAATGAGCTATTTTTGTCCCACTGTCCTGACATTGTACACCCCCCACTATTGACTTTTTAAGACATTCAAATACAGCCTACTGAAGGGCAGTAAGGTGTGGGGGATATACATTTCACAAACCCAACAAGACTATTTAAAATGATACATATTCAAGTTACAATTTGTTAATTAGATATTGTTAATAAGCAGTATAATACTTATGTGCAATATAAATATACACTCAGCACTGCGGGTATCTTGCAGGAATAAAAGGAAAACGGGCATTCTTTGTACAACCTATGAGAAGCTTTAGGTCACTGGCAAAATGAAGTTTGCCAACATCAAATTCATGGCAAACTTCAGGGCAATGCTCAAATCAACAGCCACAATGTTAGCATTATTGGAAAAATATGCTGGAATGCAGATTAAACTGTAAACAATAAAACACCATAAATAAGAAAATCATATGTTGTCCTCCCACAAACATCTTTTCATAAATATTATCATACATAGGCCTATTATAAGTACAAGTGCAGTACATGTGCAGTTGGATTATGGCCTCAGGCTGAGTGAAGGTTTATGTTTCTTGCCTTTTTTGTGGAGTTTGTTTGTGTTGTGTCTAGCAGATAATGAATCCTTCCCCAAAAGCCTTAATACACAAAGGTTACTTTAGATACGTTGCCCACATATCTAAGAGTGAATATGCATCAGTTTAAAAAAAGCGTTTGCTTTCACTTTGCTTTCATGTGTCCTTGCAGTCAAACAAGGACAGGGTCATATTGAAGTTAGATTTGTGTGATGCCAATGTGTGGCCTTACACGTTATAAGACATTTTCCCAGAGCATCACTGATTCTGACTTAAGATTTTTTTTGATTTTACTCAAGTAGGCTTTTAACCTTTACTTAATACACTATAGTAGGCTACAGCAACTAGAGGTAAATATTCCTCCTATCTATATGTGTAAACCTACTGTTAATAAAACCGATTCTGATTCTGAAGCGGTTTGGCCTTATCATTGATCAATCACTAGGGGGAGACAAAGACTGACCAGTTGCATTTGTGTGGCGCCCTGCAGACAGAGCACAATAATCTTATCCAAACCAGCTGTTCTGCTTCTACTCACACACACACACACACACGCACGCACACACAAATACACATCATCGTAGCAAGAGTCCCTTTCTTCTCTTGAACGTTTAGGATTGCAGTGCCATCCTCCGATTAGCACATGGATGAACAGAGCATCTCACTGCCTACTTCCGGGTTCCCTGCGGGTGTTTTATGTTTGTTAAACAGCCAAATATTGAGCAATAACTTAATGTGGCTATCACTGCGGCGAATATTCACCAGTGCTGTAGTTCAGACGGCTGGGCGCTCATGCGAAGAAGAGACGTACAGCAGACATAACAATTCACTGTTTGAATTCACAGTCATTAATTAAAGCGCATGCGCGGTGCCCAGCCTCTGATTGGTTGGTGTCTCCTTCTGGGCGGGGCTTCTGTTGTCTGTGGTCGGTTGCAGATTTGAATTACAGAACAATAACAGGCTGTTAACAGGCAACACTGTGAAAATTAGCAACATTTACACCAAACAATGGTCTGCGAGAGAAACTGAGAAACACTACAGCAGGTAAGGACACAGAAAAGCAAGCCTACTGCAAATGCATTGAATGCATTACGTTAGACAATGCTAAAACAACCATTTACGTTGTTGTTGACATCAGAGACACAATTTGTCCGATTATTATCCTCCCAAAAATGCATTGTACGTGTACTGCAGGCTGTCATTGGTTTTCTCAATTTAATTAATTAGCTATGCAAGGAATACTATATCGTTATTCAGCTGCAAACCACTGAGGACTCTGTAACCCAAATACCCGAAACAATGTCCAAAAATATATTTAAACGGAAGTCAGTGAGCAATACATTGATTGTTTGATTCGGCAGAGACGTGATCTCTCTGTCTGCAGTAGTGTTTTAATAATTCAGTGATATGTACCTTATACAGTCTATTATACCTTGTTGCATGCAAGCAAGATGACATCAGGCAGTTAAAGTGTTTGCACTGCAGAAATGAATGCAATATAGAGCAATGGCTCAACATGGACCCTCCTCAGTCCAAGTTGCAGAGCAGGCATTTTTGCACTGACAAAATGTTCCATAAAAGAAACCCCTCCCCCATATGAGCCAAAACAGATGGACACCAACAATGAAATTCTGGGGAGTGGGCATCATTATTCAAACCACTTTATTTCAAGACATTTCATTGGACATCCTGGTCAGCTGACCCAGATTTCTTGAATTTTGAAATAATAATGAAGCAAGGGTTTCTTGGCATCACTCCCAAACAGTCAAAATAGGATTAGCATCACTGAAGGAAGCATTGAAGATGTGTGATATGATTTGATGAGCCCCTCTTTTCTTGTCTCAAGCAGATATAGACTCTTGCAACGCCTGAGCAAGGAAGACGGGATCAACAGTATAGAGAAACACCCCAAGGGAAGACTAAGATAAAGTTAGAATAAATAGCAATGTTCAAAACCATCACCCGTCTGTTTTTTGGGGGAGAGGAGACCCCTGAAGATGTGAAGTCTGGAGAAGTGGTGGAAGAAGGATGGCTTGTTGTGAATCATCAAGGTCAGTCATTTTTTGAATTTAATTATCTGCAATGTCCCAATATTTAAAGAAATATGGAGTGTAAGTAGGGCACAATCATTTTGGTGGAAGTGTTATCTTAAATCATAACCCAGCATTTATTCAAAATAATTCCCAAAAGTCATGTCGATGTGGACTCATAACCGTGATTGGAGGCTGCATTTAATCCAATGAAGCCAAACCACAAACTCAAATAATGAAATCATATACCAAACGCTGACTACCTCATACTAACCTACTTTAAAATATCTGAAAACATCCATTTTAACACCACTATAGTATTGTTTTCTCCACAGAAAGACCATCAACCTCCTGTATACTGAATTATTTCTCAATTATATGACGTAAATCCTTTCCGTCTCCACAGAGCCAAGCTCATCAGAGAACGAGGTTACAGAGCCGGCTGACACACAGCCATCAAACTCTGCTCTCCATGAAGACATAGCTGTGAACATGGAAAGTGACATTAGGTGAGGAATCCTTTCAAAAAAATCACATTATATTTGAAAGGGAAAAAACGTAAAGGTGGGGTAGGTAAGTTTGAGAAACCGGCTCGAGATACACTTTTTGTTATATTCCCTGGAATGCTCTTAACATCCCGATAGCGATTAATATCTTAAGTGCTTTGACAAAAAATCCATAAAAAAAATTCATCTGTGGAAGCCGTGGCGCTGTAAAAAGCACGACCAATCATTTTAGCCGGCCCGGCTAAAATAACTGGATGGCCTACCTGCCTGTCAGCCTTCCATCTGTGCACAAACTTATCTCGTGCCCTCATTGGTCATGTGCGCGTTCGTGTGTGTTGGAGGAGGGGCTCTGTAAGGAAGTGTCACATTTTTTCCGGCTGTGTATTTTCAAATTCTAGCGCACTCGAGCTGGTTTCTCCAAAATTACCTACCCCACCTTTAAGTGTTTACCAATAATAAACAGGGACCATTTCAAACCCCCAAATATATTACATTTATTTTTAACTTCAGATTGATGAACAATGTCTCAGGCTGTTAGACTCACATTCTTCCTTGTGTTTCTCTCCAGTGTGTTAGATCCAGAGCTTGCAGTTCAGAGCAGCAGCAGCAGTCTAGCCGTCACAGCCCCTCTTCCTCACCCTAAAGATTTGCTTGAAGAGACACAGCTATCTTGCAACAAGAAGACCTGGGTCGATCCACACCACATGTCTCGTAACGCCATTCAACGGCAGAACCGTGTTCGCACAGGAGTCCAACATCACGCCTTTCACCTCCAACAGCCGGCACATCGCAACCTCAGCCACTGAAGCTCTGTTTTTAAATAAACTTACAACATGTATCACGCTAAATACACATAATCAGAATTCCTTTATTCAAAGGGGAAATGTACACACATCTACACTAAATTGTGTCTTGTCATATTTAATCTATACCTCTGATCTTGATGTAACCAATCACTACAACAGGCAGCTACATTATACCTCGTACTGTATGTGAATTGATATGAAGATGTCCACCTGATGAAATGAAATACACCATGTTTTCTTGTATTTGCAAATGTGGATGAGTGCATGTATTTTCTAAGATTTTGGACAAAGTGTTGTAATTTGTGTATTGATTTGCTTTTATTTACCTGTATGTAAAAACACCAAACCTTTTTTATATGCCAAATAAAAATGAGAAATATGCAGCTCATGCTTTGTTTATGAGCTCACAGTTTGACGTGTCCAAATGCTGACATCTCATTGGTTGGGACATGATTGCACCAGCTGTGTTTGATTACAAGCTCACCTGAGGGAAGGTTTCAACTTAAGGGCTTTTTACAATCAGGAGGGTTAGTGCCTGAAGAGCTCTTAAATATATGAGGATGGAGTTATCCCCTATAACAAAACTTAACAAGCAGTTCAAATCTGGTTACAAAAGTTTTGCTGATCCTTCTGAATTGAATGATCGCTCAAGGGACTTCACCTGTGCCTTGAACGGAAGCTGTGGTAAGTAGATACAAATATATGTAAGCCTTTCATAATTGCTAATTTGCAACACTGTGTAAATCACCTTATTAGATGTCAATGGGGGGAAACAGGCAGGATTTATATCACTCATAACCTGACTTGTTTTGTAAAGCAAAATATTCTTTACCTCGGTAAATGTTAACTTTTTCCTTGCTGCTGCCACAGACCTCAACCATCACCCAAAGGACATCCCTCTGAAACAGCTGGTAACTGGAAGCCCATACGTGTTTGACCGAAGCGTGTCCAGCCCCAAAGAGACAGACACGGACCGCTCCGATCAGGTCACACTCCTACATTTCTATGCTGTTTCTATCACCTTCGCCATCGGAGTGACCATTGCCTTGATCCTGCATATATACCTGGGTGAAAGATTGGTAGGTCAAGCACAGGGTTACTTAGAAAATGTATTCTGTTACAATTACTAGTTACCTGTGGATAAATGTAATCAGTAACCTCATCTGAGTATCATAATATAAAAGTAATTTAATCTGATTACGTTCCGTTACTTTTGGTCTGCCTCAATCAATCAAATTCAATGCAAATAAATACAAGAGAAAATAAATATCAATAAAATGTTTTTTACTTAAGCATATTATGTAAGGCAACTGAGCAATGTTATCTTTAGAAAAGAAGAAACTATGATATTAAGGATAAAAAATGTGTCCTCTGCTCAGCATATTCCGTCAGTAGCCTATACTCCACCAATGAAACACATGGGCACATACTACAAGCAGAAATCAAATCTGAGCTGACAGAAAATGCTCAGTTATCATTTAATACATAAACTCACACACAATCTTATTGACATAGGTTCAACTACTGAATTAAAAAAAGAACAAATGACCCAAAGAAAGTGAAAACCATAAAGCAGATTCAGGCAGCAGAGGTGGTCCGGCAGTGGCTCAGTCAGTAGGGGCTTGGACTGTGAGCCGTAGGGGCGCCGGTTCAACTCCCCGACCAGACCTAAATATGGAGTGTGGACTGTGCTACTTGGAGAGGTCCCAGTTCACCTCCTTGGCCCTGCCGTGGTGCCCTTGAGCAAGGCACCGGACACCCCGCCCCCCCACTCCCATTGCTCCCTGGGCGCTGTGCAATAGCTGCCCACTGCTCCTAGTACTAGGATGGGTTAAATGCAGAGGCCACATTTCACTGTGTGTGCTGTGTGCTCTGCATGTGTGACCATTAAAGAGGGGTTCATCCCTCCGATTCTATTCTATTCTATAGATTCACAATTAAAGTATTGGCCAACAGAACAGTTTACAGAGAAGAAATAACATCTGATTCTTTTACAACAAACACTATATGCTCTTGAGTTTTTTAGTCACACTGTAATGCTGCTTTTATTCCCCAATTTGTAGTATTGTAACAGTAATCGGATTATGTCTTTTCTATGGTATTTTGGTATTTCGATTATTTAATCCCATTACATGCAATCTGTTACTTCCCAAGCCTGGTCTAGTGATATTATCAGAAACAGGTTTATTGGCAAGTAGGTTAACACATACGAGGGATTATCCTTGGTGTATATGGTGCACACATAAACACAGTTAAAGAAGATATATTTAAAAATATATAAAAGCAATTATAAAAAAAAATATTTACACGAATAAATATACACAAAAACTATGTACAGTATACTATGACAACATCATCAGAATAATCAAATCAAATATGTGCACTAACAATTATAACCACAAGTTATTTGTTCTCATTATTCCCCAGGTGTTAGTAAAAGGTGCTGTGGTGTCGGATCATGAGCTCTGCTCTGCCCTCGGACACAGAGTCCTCCGTGATGGGGGGTCCAGTGTCGACGCTGCCATCACTGCCGCCCTGTGTCTGGGTGTTGTGCATCCACATGTG